ACTACCAGATGCTAATGTAGTACCATCAGGAGAGTAACAAATTGAATTAACACTATTTGAATGACCATCTAATTTGGCTTTTTATTATCCTGTTTTAATATCCCATAAACGGATAGAGTTATCTAAACTACCAGATGCTAATGTAGTACCATCAAGAGAGTAACAAATTGAATAAACGGCACTTGAATGACCATCTAATTTGGCTTTTTATTATCCTGTCTTAACATCCCATAATCGGATAGAGTTATCATCACTACCAGATGCTAATGTAGCACCATCAGGAGAGTAACAAATTGAATTAACACTTTTTGAATGACCATCTAATTTGGCTTTTTATTATCCTGTCTTAACATCCCATAATCGAATAGAGTTATCATCACTACCAGATGCTAATGTATTACCATCTGGGGAATAACGAATTGTTCTTACTTATTTTTAATGACCATCTAATTTGGCTTTCTATTATCCTGTGTTAACATCCCACAAACGGATAGAACAATCTCCATCATCATACAAATTTCCACCACCTGATGCTAATGTAGTACCATCAGGTGAGAAATTTACAAACATAACATTATCAAAATGACCCTCTAATCTGCCATGTTATTTTCCTGTTTTAAGATTCCATAAATACACAAATTCTCTGCTGCTGAATGCTATTGTAGTGCTATTAGGCGAGAAGCATATTGCTTTTACATCCCCTGTTCCCCTGATTCTAGACTTTTCTTTCCCAGTTTTAACATCCCACAATAAAATCGAATTATCATCGCTACAAGAAGCTAATGACTTACCATCTGTAGAAAAGCATATCTAATTAACTCTTCTATGATGTCCAACTAGTTTATTTAACTCATGAATTTTGATATTTTTCCATTTACAATTCAACAATTAAGCTTAATTCAAGTTCATTCCACTAATATCTACATTGTCAAATTCAGATCCATTGAAATTGCATCGTACAAAATTTCCACCAACTAAGGAGGTGTCTCTAATCCTGATATTCTCAAAACTTTATTCCCTCAAATCAGCCTTCATCTAAACTAACAAATGAAGAGAATTTGATCCACACTAAATATATCTCTTATCCAAGGTAGTCAGATTAACTAAAAATCTGAGAAATTATATGATATTCTTATCCCATGATATTTTTATGATCAGATCTTTTTTAATTTCTTCAAAATCATCTATCGAGTAATTCTGTTTATTAAAGTCATGATCCCTAACTTTTTTGAGAGCATCCATTATTCTATTAATGTTCTTCTCTCCATTAAGGGTCTAGTCTTCATCAAGCAGAGATAAATTTTCTACCTTTTATCTTGCTATTTCTAATAGGAATCTACTTTGATGTTATGAGAGAAATTCTAAGCAGTCATAAATTCTCTCTTTTTTTAATATGTTTATGAGTATAGGGAGGACTACTTCATCAACCTCTTTGGATAAGGTCAAAACATTATACAACTCTCCAAATTACTCTTTTGTGTGGTGCATTTCTTTTTTTAAAAAAATAATACTTATTTTCTATTACTTTATTTTGAGAGTTAACACGGAAGGATATGTAAACAACATTTTAGAGTTATGGAATCGATGTAAATTATAACAGCGAAAACTCACATAAACTTGTGCATAACTTGATTCTTTGTGAATACAAATCTGCATTTATGATTCAATATTCATATAATCAAATGATTACTAAAAAGCATTTGTATCAGAAATTTAGTTTTTCACATGATGAGAACTCAGTTTATTTTAAATATATCCCTTTATTCTCAATCACAATTTTCAAAGGTGAAAAATTATTAAAAATAAGAAACCAATCATATCTGCTGCCTCGCTTTCGATCGCAACTTAATAATAGAAAATATCAAGTTATCCTGTCTTCACATCCCAGCTAATGTAGCACCATCAATAAATTTCCCAAGGTTCCTAGAAAACTCAATTTTGGTTTAATATAAGGACAATGAAATTAAATAAGAAAAACTAACCTTTTAAACTAAGCCTTTAATTATTCTAGCTGCTTAAGATGATACCTGTATTTGGTTCTTGTTAACTGTAAAATTTATCGTAAATTCTTTTTTTCGATTTTAGTGGTAATATTGTAATGATGATGACTTACTTTATAATAATAAAATTGTGCTTGATGTTGGAAAATATTCTTTAAATAAACTTTTTTAAATTAATGAACTCTTTACAAGATAACATAGAAATGTAGAAATAGCTTTTCCCAAAGAAAGTGATTAAATTTATCAAATGATTTTTTAAAATATGTATGATATTTTTTAATAATAATCAATCTTATTGCAATTCTTTAAAGTTTTCTAAAATCAAGCTTCCTTTAGATTTGAATAAGGGTATTAAATCCTAACCTGAATAATTTTCAAATATTCATTTCAAAATAAAAGCTCCTTAAGCTTCTAAAATTGGATTTTAACATATTCTTAGTATTGTACGATCAATCTAAGCTAAAGAATAATATTAATAAGTACTATTTTTAAAAATTTAGTGATTTTAAAGTGGTAATTTAAACTAAGAAAGAAGGTCTTTGTAACAATTATCTTAAGGTAGAATCTTTTGTTCTGTTTTAACATTCTATAACCGGATAGAGTCATCACTACCAGATGCTAATGTAGTGCCATCAACAGAGTAAAAAATTGAATTAACCCAACTCGAATGACCAACTAATTTGGCTTGTTATTATCATGCCTTAACATCACATAAACTGGTAGACTAATCATCAGAAGTTGATTGAAGTTACAGTTGATGTATGGCCATCTAAATTTGGCTTTTTATTAACCTTTTATTCTCAAGGCTTTATTCTCTCAAATCTATCTTCATTTCGACTAAGAAATTAAGCGCATTCGATCCACTTTAGATAAATCTCTCGTCAATGGCTGTCAGACCAACTAGGAATTTCATTAATTTAATTATGTACTAATCATATGATATTTATTTTATTAAGCCCTTTCTAATTTAATCATAGTTCTCATTTGAATAATTCTTCTTATTAATGTCAATTCCGCTAACATTTTAAATCATAGAAGCGATAAATTTCAATTCAGTTTAACTTTTAAAGAACTCTAAACAATTAGTTATTTTCTTATTTCTCAGCATCTAAAGTAGCTCATTAAGATAGAATTCATCAAAGTTCTTAGCCTAAGTCAATACTTAATAGAAATCATCCTTTCTGTTATAACCTTACTTTATTTCTTTTAATTATTGAATTATTTCTTAAGAATTATCAATCGAATTAATTAATAAGTTAATCCTCTTCATACCTTTATTCAATATTGCTTCAATTAAGAATTTTTCTTAATGTTCCAATCATCTAATTGTTTTCCGATAATAATTTAGACTAACTTTTCTAAATCAGTATTGGTTAATTCAGTTGGAATCTCGTTATTGTTAATTTAAGTCACATAAGATTTATCTTCCATCTCAATCAAATCATATATCTATGTTATTGATTCTGTCATTTCATCCCAAATATCTTTTAACAT